TTTCCTAAAAAAATATATTTTCGTAGGTCTGTAAATCTGAATTAGATGAGCCATGTCATGGGTTCTCAAGATTGATTACACATTTTGAAATTGTACTGTAATTTCGAGTATATTCCAAGTGTAGTTACATCCTCCTTACTGCACTCAGAATGAAATAAACATTAAATTCCACAGCGTGTTGTCGATAATTGCAATGGTGGAAAGGCTTTATAATTTTCCCACATTGTGATCTGATAGAAAAGAAACACGCATGCCGATGTTAACAAAATTCAAAACATTAAATTGGCAGACGCTGCTGGAAACCGATGCAAGTCACTTCATGTAGATTAATCCAGACCATAATCAAAAGATTGCGTTGAATTGACAAATATACCAAAAGGCATTCATTCCAGATCAAATGGAAAAGTTGTTGCAATGCGTATTCATCAACAATATTACTCCAAATTTCAATTTTAAGTAGAGCAAGCGCCATTTTCTTTCGAAACTTACGTCTAGCGCGCCACCAACTTCATATTTGTCTGGGCAGCATTGTGCGCTCATTAATAATGTTGTGTAATGATCCATCAACGCTTATATATTTAGTTCGGAATACTGCGTACATCTAGTTACTTTGTTTCTTTCAGTGTATTTTTGTTTATATATTTAAGCCTTGGGAAGAATAAGAAATGAGCATATAATAAAAAAGGTTGCTGTATTTGTATGGGGAAATATTTACTCGTTTTGTCGGAAGGATATACTGCACTCCCAAGGTCGTGCAGTATATCCATCCGAAAAACTCGTTCATATTTTCCCATACAAGTGCAGTAACCTATAATTACAGAACGTGTGCTTTATATCACTGAGGAGTCGGATTAAAGGTATTAAAAAAATATTGGTTAACTAATATAAAGGTCATTTGAACCATGGCGACTTGTACTGTATCATGTATTAAACGGATAATTGTTCTTAAAATTGCAGTTGATACCGAAAAAGTGCAAAACGACGAAATATATATGAAGTTGTTAAAGTTATTATTCAATGATGTTAAACTCTTTGATAATTTAAATTTAAACTTACGACAGACAGGTATCAAAGAATCCGTAAGAATATCACCAGAAAATTTTCATGTATGACTACAGAAATAAGTTCACGGCGGAATCAAGTCTATTGCAATGGAAACGCATTTATGCATATTTTAGGTCGAGGTACGACAAACTAGAGTTATATTTGGAAACACAAAACGTATGCCATCGCTGCAACCCAAAAAGTTAAAACTTTTCAAAAATTTTGACAAAATTTAAAATGCTATAATGACCTAAAAATCTAGTCACGTCACCTGGCTTATATGACCAGTACCAAATGTTAGTAGTGCTAACAAGGTTTTGAAGAAAAAGAAAGGAAAAAAAGAGTCTAGCAAACTCAAAACTACATAACAATTCAAATACTAGTTTCATTGCCTGATATTATAATCAGTTCATTGTACATTTAAATATTAATACAAAAAAATGCTTCTGAGGTTTTAATTGTCATCCTTTGTGGGATTTGTTTTTTAAGGGGATGAATTTTAATATCTTTTTATGTTGGTTATTTTTTTGTTTCTTGGGTGGTGGTGTTTGTCTTGTTTTTGTTTTTTTTATTTTTATTTTAACAGGCACATTTGTCAAAACGATCAATTCCAAACGATTAAAAAAAGTATATACTCCCCCCCTAAAAATAAATTGCTTTAAGGTTTATGTCCACACTTTAGTCATAGCATTAATTCTTTACTGTTGTTGCTGTTCTTGTTGATTATAGTTTCTTTCCTCGGGGTGGGGAGGATCATATAATATAAGATGAACACAGCAAAAACTACATTATCATTATTTCAAGTAGTAAAGAAATAACAATTTCATTTATCTTATTCGAAGGAGGTAATTATGCTGTAATATAATGTTACAAGTCTTATATAAATATAAACTATTTAGGTCTTTGAGAGAGATTTATTGTTATATATTGCCATGTGCCATGCTCTTGTCGCATGTGTCAGCCAATTATGTTTGTCGGGTAATTCTGCGCAATGATACTTCATTTCTGTAGACATTGGATCCCGTGTTATTTTTAGTCGAAAATCCAATTTGTATCAAGAAGGAACGATAGTTCTTTAATCAAAGAAAGTGAGTTTATATAAAATGTATAAAAATATCCCACATTTCTAATCTAAATTCATATGAAAATGTGATTTCTAACTGTGAACATGAAGACCAACTCCATGATCTTGAACTTGTAACCCAGAAAAACCTATTTATTTTTCTATTAGAATCATACAAATAAATACGTTATGTAAAGGATATAAATGTTTACCTTAGGACAATAATGCATCTTAATTCAAGTTTTTCATTTTGCAAGAAGTGTTTCCACATTTACTGTACCGTCTTATATCCAACTAGTCCGATTAATCAACTCCACCCCACCCAACCCAATCCCACCCCAACCTCAACCCTCCCACCCTAATCAGTGTTGATACTGATGGACATTATGTAGGTCTGATATCACCTGTTCATTAAATGTAAACAAATTTTCTACATGCAAATCTTTCCGTAACAAATCTACGAACACTTTACTTACCGGCAATTTGTAAGAGCCAAAGGCCTTATATAGCGCGAATTTACAAACGGCCAAATGACTGAGAATTGTGCTATTACACATGGATTAACAAGTCACAAAACAATACAGGATCGGTTGAGTTTGCCTAATATCTCTTGCCATTTTCATCTTTTAAAACCTTCTATAATCCTGACCTAATTACTCGACTGAAATGCCGACAGAAGGAGTCCAAAGTAATGTATTCTAGTTCCATATCCCGATGCATAAACATTACTGTACATTTTCTCAAAGCTTACGCAGAATAGGCCGACATAAGGCTAGTAATGAAAACAGTGGTTGAATCCTGTGTGTCCAAAATTAATATTATTTTGAACAGAATATTCCGGTGATATTTACTTCTTTTCAAATGGTAATCATTGCAGTACTTTTTTTCAATGTGTTGAATTCGGGACGTTTTTTGCGTCGATATTGGTGATGAAAACCTTCTGTGCGCAAAAAGCCCGACAGCTGCGTATATGTAAACAAAGTATGGTAAGCATTTGGCTTTACATCGTTTATTTACATTGTTTGAATTCTGAAAATTACAAATATTCTAGTTTCATGTCCAGATGGATATTTTGAGACTATGTTAAGCAAGACGTTTTGCTAAAGAACGTTCTCTATGATACATAATACGTACAATGATCGATGTATTATTTTACGATGTCCTCCATCTTCGTTTCGGAGACAAACTTGTATATTGGAGGCACCTCCATTTTTTTTTCACGTAGTTTCTTTACATTGTTTGAATGCTGTATATTACAACAAAAAAACCTAGTTTCTTGTACAGATGGGTATTTTGAGACTATGCTGAGTACGATGCTTTGCCATATAATATTTTGTATGACTGATATTATGTTCAAATTTACGTTCGGTGCGTTTTTACGATGTTCGACATTATTGGTTTGAAGGATACTTAAATTTTATGTATTGGAGGAACCTCAAATTTTCACTTTGTGTTGTGTACAGTCAAAATTGGACTCCAATGAACAGTTTATACAACAGGTTTTACGTTGAAGAAGTTGCACTTACAATCTCTTGTTAAGATAATAATCCGCATGATGTTCTAATTTTCCAGCACCACCAACTCATGTCGAAGAAAATGTTTATTGTAATGCGTCTGACTAAATCATTTTAGTATTTTGTCAGAAATACATAATTAAAAGTGTAAAAATATAATTAGCATTCAGTATTTGTCTTGAATCCTAATATTTTAACAATATTCACTGTGTACTGTGTTTTAAATACTTGTTAACAATGTGTACTATTTTGGCGGAGTGTTACATTGTGTGAGTAATAGGTACTGCAATCATTATCTAAATAGAAATTAATTCAAAGTAATCATATAATAAAATATATATTTATTTATTTATTCAGCATAAATTTTTTGTAAATTTCGTTAGTATTTTTTTTAAAAAAACCTCAAAGATATAGCGTTTAATACTTTTACGTCGGGATATAAGTCCTCCATAAAACTTCCGCTTTTTCCATTCATTGGTGAGACTATATTTTTTTTGTAACAGAACTGGTCGTCCATTTCGCATGATAATCATATTTATTTGAATTCGTTTGTTATTGGGATTTTAATGTTATCCCTAATAATATTGCAAAACCTTAATAGAAAATGACATGTGATCATTATTGCTATTTAATACAGTTTTGAGATTGATGGTTATGATTATATGTGATATTATAGAGGCAATATAGTAAGAGAATATTTAAATTCTTTGATATTAATTTATCTATTGATAATTGAAAACTAGAGAAAACAAATCCCCTATTTTGTTAAAATTAAGAATTTATGTTCTCGATATTCTTGAATAAATATATAGTTTCTTCACACGTAAGTAGCTAACTTAATAAGCCACAATTTCTACAGGGATTTCGTCTGCTATCAGAAGACTTTCTTAATAATAAAACAACCAATTAAAGGTGCCAATTTTGGATTGCTGAAGTCCAAAAACAGTGAGTATCTAAATGTTGGGGAACTTATGCTGGAAATTAAACCGGGTGAGCACGTTACGCGATTTAGTTCGTAGTAAATTCAAATCAATACCATATGAAACAACGTGCTGTCAATCTCAAGCCGTTTTGTAGCATGACTAAAATCAGGTCTCCAGCGTCCTGGGATAAGGGCAGTAAAGATGTGTGTGTATGTGTGTGTGTGTGTGTGTGTGTGTGTGTGTGTGTGTGTTATTTTTAATGTAGCTTTAACAATTTTGCAGTCATATCGTTACGATGTCTGCAGTGTGTCAGTTTATAGTGAGGTCTAGGACCTGGGCATCATGCTGCAGACATTCTCATTGTCCTGACACCAGGGCGAGCAGTTGTAGCACTAACCTCTTAATGCTGAGTGCATAACGAGGCAGCTGTTAGTACAAATTTCATAAGCCTTTGGTATGAGTCGGTCGGGGTTCGAACCCGCGACCTCCCGCATCCGATGCAGACGCTCTAACCACTAGGCCCATGTTGTATAAGACTGGCTTTTCAGATGGTCTCGTTTTCCCAATTAGCGCCAGATTGAAAATGCACCTAGATATATCTCAACCAGATTGCAGCAAGTTAACGCACAAAATTCTCATAAATTTCAAGCGTAAGAAAATTGTACGAAATTTCTTAAGTGCTTTTCACAAATATATCCATTAGAAAACTCTAAGTCAAGAAACTGTATTTAGGTAAGTTACTCATTGGTTTTGGAGGAAAGAATAAAATAAACTAATGTACATGAAAGTGACAATATTTCACTAATTTCATTCTCACTACTAATTAATCATCTAATGGAAATTTAGTATGAGTATACTGACAGATGCTATATTTTTTTTTTTGTGTTTTGTTTTTGTTTTTAGCTTTTAGTAGCGCTTTCAAGACATTAGTTGTTATGTCGTGCGGAGAAAACTGGAGTAGAATGCAGCTGACAAAGACTGGTCATGGCAAGTATCGAATTCTCAACCCTTGGTCACCAGTCAGACCCTCTACTAACTGTGATGCACTAGACTTTCATATATAAATGACCTAAATAAATTTCAGGCTAGAAAGATTTTTTTTTAAACGAAAGCCTGTTTAACACGATAAAATAACACTAATTCAGGTCAAGTGTTGAGGGGCTGGGGGTGGTACCAACTGTTCGATAGGGCTCTGAATTTCCTTAAAGGGCACCAAAGGAAAAGTCTATGTGTCTTTTTATTCAAAGTGTGCATGCTACCCAATAAACGTGCGGGAGAATAAAACGATGGTCAAACTTTAAGTGATTAGCGACGGTAACTAAATTTGTGTGTACGTTTATTTATTTTTTTTACTCTTTTATAGCCTGGGGGATATTTATGGACACAACATCAGATCCTCCACCCTCCTATCCGACCCTGAAAATCTCTCAAAAGGAAATGGCGCTCTACTGGCCGAAGAGAAGCTCCAGAAATGTGTAAGAAGCCTTTTTCTTCTCAATTATAAGTAGTGAAACCCTCTCTAAAATTCTAGAAAAATTACAGATCATCAAAATTAGTATTTATTTATGTTCACGAGATATTTATATGTGCAATCCATCATTTTTGTCACGACCTTGACCTTGCATCATTCATAGAAGATCACTGAATTTATCTCATAAAACGTCAAGATCAGCGTCGCTTTCATTAAGTACTTGGTAGACAACACAGTCTTTTACGATGGTCCAATCATTCAAAATGATAAAGATGTCCACTGTATCTAGCTGTCGGAGGGACAATATTTTCATTGAAGACATAAACATCATAATAAGTCTTTTAGCGACAGTCCTGTCAGTACCACCAACGTGGCAGCTACGGTATTATTAACTAATCATGCCAGGGTATTTATTGAAGTGTAAATCTTGCATAGTCATTCACAAAGTTAACATATAGTTCCGATAACAGCAGATATAACAGGGTGCTAATTTAAGTTTCGAAGCAAGCCTAATGGCAGGTACTAATGAAATAAACTGTACCCAGCAATACAGGTAAAAATAAAATAAAATGTAAACAGCAATAAAAAAAAATAATAAAAGAAACTGTATAGGTAGGTAATAATGAAATCAGTGTTATCACATAACTGGTGTAATTTTCATAGAATGTGCAGTTTCATATTCTTGAGATCATAACGTGTTACATATCACTTTATGTGATTCTGGTCCAAATTAGCTCATGAAATGATTGAGCGGTATTTTCTTTACTGATTCGCTGCGATAGTGGGAAAACCTTTCTAACCCCGCCATCTGGAATGTTTTGTGTTCAATGAATATTTTGGTAGCCATTTTTTAACTCGACTCGCGAAAAGAAATTGAGGAAATATTATTTCGGCTTTCTGAATATGAACAATTTTAAACCTATGTTTGTACAGGCACAAACACACCAACACACACGCGCACGCACGCACATGTAGAAAAGAATAGATAAAATAATTTAACGCTTGAAATATCAATACCTCACTTTGTGTTACGTTTGTTTCTCCGAGTATTTCCTCTTTAGTTTTTGAATCTTGGCCTGTTCCCCACATCAGCCTCACATTTGACGGACCCAATATACATGCTATTAGCATTGTTGCTGTGCGTAGCTTAGTTGAAGGAGGTCATGGGATGCTGCTCAAGGGGTTCGGACGTTTAGGTTTTACTCTTTTTCACTTTCAGCATTTTAATATCTATTAAAATACCATCTGCATCTTTTCTCGGGCTGTTGACATTTTGTGTAGCTATATCAATTAAATTGATCGAAATCAGCAGAAAGCTGCAATGTAAAATAACCTTACGCTACCATATTGCTGAATTCAGTAGATACACGAACGCCAAATGTGTATAGAAAACCAACCATTTGAATTAAGAGATATTGAAAAAGGAGAAGAAAGGATGTAATTTATATTTATTTTCGGAATTTTAAATTTAAAAGATAAATGGTTTTTAACAATGCAAACAGTACCAGAAACGGAAAGTAGTCTCAAAATTTATCTTGTATAAAATATTCAAGAGAGTATCACGTGACGGGCCCGGAGTAGCTGAGTGGTCTAAAGCGCTGTCCGTTACGGATCACTGCCACCTCACCTCTGTCTGCGTGAGTTCGAGTCTAGACTCGGCTAATGTGGGTAAGTGAGAAAGCCTGCCAGTAGCTTTTCGTGGGTCGGTGGTTCTTCTCGGGATTTTCCAGGGTTCTTCCTCCACCATTAATACTAGCCGTCATGTATAGAATATTTTGTGCGGAAAAATGGCGTTAAACCCTATAACAACAACAATCACGTGACGGTTATTGTCTAGTCATATTGCGGGAAACCTATTCCAGTCCTAATAATTTTTGGAGTTTTATTGGGTGAAGGATTTGTATCGTTTTCAATCAACACAAATTAAATACCTTTAAAATATGTCATTGAAAATCAGTGATGTGATGTGATGTGATTATGATGTTGAACGTAGCTTTAACAATTTTTCAGTTATATCGATACGATGGCAGCATTGTGGCAGTTTAAAGTGATGTCTGGCACTGGGGCATCATTCCACAGACATGTAGCATAACGTCCCACCCAGTCCTGACACCAAACCAGTTAGTTCTAACACTAACCTCTTAATGCTGAGCGCCATTTTAGTAAGTCTGTGGTATGACTCGAACGGGGATCAAACCCACGACCTCTCGGATCCGCGGCGGACGCTCTAACCACTAGGCCACCAGAGCGGTTCATCATCATTGAAAATCATAATTTTTTTCAGGAATAACAACTACTGTTGGGGCCATATTCGAGGTTAAGGTCCAACTTGTGATCAAGGAGTTCCTTTTGGTGAAAACTCCAGAACTTTGAAACGATCAGCTATTGAGGAGTAATGGCAAAATTAAAGATACCTGCTATGGTGGTCATGTTACAGGATGTAAAAATGTGCATCCATTATGGCGGCCTTGTTGCCGGGTGTAAAAATATGCATCCATTATGGAGGCCTTGTTGCCGGTTGTAACAATGTGGATCGCTTTTCTTTACAACCAATTAGGCCTACTTATCATATTTAGCATTTCAACCGAAACCCCCATGTTAATATGACATCCATTCTTTAGAAGTAGCGATATTATGATAAGAATTTTTATCAAAAGTCTTCCACTCATTTCCTGCTATGAGAAGGAATTAGTCATGTCTTAAGAATGACTCGATGACTCGATCTATGGTCAGAGAGAGAGAGAGAGAGAGAGAGAGAGAGAGAGAGAGAGAGAGAGAGAGAGAGAGAGAGAGAGAGAGAGAGAGAGAGAGAGAGAGAGAGAGAGAGTGTGTGTGTGTGTGTGTGTGCGTGTGTGACGCATAATAGTGTAAATAATACTACATCTGCACCTCGGGAAGCTCTTGCATGCGAAGAAACACGTGATTTCTGTAAAGAATACAAGAGGAATCTTTTCTAGTGTTGAAGCAGCGGCAACTTTTATTTATATAATTGATATAGAAAGATATACAATACTATATTTCAAAGACACTCTTCACAAAGCTTTTACATTGAAAAATACACAAACTGCATATAATATCTTTCCTTTCAAGCTTACAAACTTCATATATTTGTAGTTTTCTCATTTTAGAATATAGCACAGATAATAAAATCTGGACTATATCAAAGATTGTAAAATAGTTGTTATTAATGCAACAATCATTTTGAAGAAATATATTTTACTCAATTTATAATAAAATACTAATGTGGAGTATTTTAATAAACATTTTCCTTTATTCCTTAAAGGACATTTAAATTTCCAAGTTACATCTAAACATGAAGTCGGTAGCCAATTTACTCTTTTTACTATTATCATAAATACAAATATAAATTCTTTAAAACAATTAAACATTCCATTATATTATAATATTAGAATAAAAAGAAAACTCACAAGACCTTGACAACCAGGAAGGTTATAACACAAATCTTTGACTTTTCCGACACTCATTCCTTAAGAAAATTTCGAACATAAACGATTATCACCTGTATAGAACACAAAAAGAAGCTTGTCTTGTCTTGAAGCAGCGGCAACTTAGATGCTAGAGCTTTGGGCTGTTATTTATACTTAGTTCAAGACACCTCTGACCTTTTTTTTTAGTAAGATCCTGAGTTTTGAGGGTGCCAAGCTAGCATCATACGTGTACAGAGTGCTTCAAAACCAGAAATTTCCAGTTTTATCCCAATGGAACCGCATATGTTTTTTTTTTCGTCACATTCTGCCTCATTATTATGGCTGAAACCAGTTACTAAGTCAGAGAGTAGGTTAAGAGTTTTTTGCCACTGAGTGTTAGCTTGCTGATTTCGGCTTGTACATGCCTAATACAGGGAAGCTTGTTCTTGGTATAGAGTCGGCATGTACATGTATAATGCAAGGCATATTTGTAGCTGTTCATAAAGGTTATTTGTTAAGTTAGTTTACACATACAAGAATGAGACTTGTACATGTTGTAAAGAAACAATCTTTGTCAAAATAGAATATAGATCTAATAAAGAAAGTTAATATACATATGTTTTAATGGAGATTACTGCCAATATAATTTAATGAGAATGTAATCCAATGAAGAAATAGATTTGATACAAATTAGAAGAAATTCTAATTTTTTAAAATTCTTACTTAAATTTTCTGTCATAACAGCGATAATAACATTTCCAAACAAACTCAATAACCGACACTTCTGTTAATGCATTATAGGACTACTGACTACATCCAAGATTTACTGTTCTCCGAAACAATAGTACTGATATGCAGAAACTTTTCAAACCGCTGAAAATGACAGTCTGAAAACAGAAGTGCTCCTTTGAGAATGGTAAGTTTTCGTTAGCAAAAAAATACGTTAACACAAGCTTGATGAAAATATTCAAAATTGCAATCAAGACAATATATTAGATTTACCTTGGTAATCCATCACAATAAAGTAAAGAGTTTGAGTGTTTGGATTATTTAGTTGGACGCTTACCGTACACATCTATCTTCCAACCTTCTAGGCGTCTGGATAATATCCAAAACTGGATAGTAAACGGCAATATTTTTCATATAGTGACAAGGCAATCATAAAGGACGTTTGAGAGGCACGAGTTTCCTTTGACAACAACTTGACATCATAAGAAGTCTCTTTTCAGTGTAAAAGCAATGTCAGTTTGACCATCCGTTTGAAAAGCTTAGCGATATAAGTATTTTCTTCAGAGCCATTGCGGCAGCTGTATTGGATGTATTAAGGTCACCGTTTCATTTAAGATAAACTATATACATTAAGATGTATGTTATTGTAAACCCCGTGTCGATAGGACCATCCGTTCACGAAGAGTACGAGATAACAAGTTGTTTTTTAAGCTGGATACCATAACAGCCATATTAGAAGGCTGATCAGCACCAGTTTCACTTGTAGTCAACTTGTTACCATAGTAAATCCTTGTAGTGAATTAGATTGATCATTCATTATACATTAGTATCTATAACAACATTTTTAAAAATCGCTGTCTTGGCATATATGCATACTGAATGTCCGATCAGCACCAAGTTCATTTATGAGAAACTATGCATCATAGATTTTCTTTCAGTGAAAACCACATGTCAGTATGATGCACTTTTATTTGCTCTAAGTAGTTTACCCACCAACTGTTGCAGTTTACATAACATGATAGTCAAACTTTGTCACAAAAACAAGCCCACAGTCCACACTTTTTAGGCATCGGGTTGTGGTAACCTTTATATGTAAAGCATAGTTACATTTCATTTTTAATTAAGCATTTAAATACATTTTTGTGTATATAATGCCAAGGAAATTTAAGATATTACATTTCTCAGTGGCAAGCAGCCCCCCCCAGTCTGGTTCACAAGGGTATTAAACACGCGGCTCTTGGATTACGAGTCCAATTCTCTACCAATTGAGCTACCGAGGGCCAAAACATTAAAACTGAAGTAAACTACCGTTTTCATGTCTGTGCTTGTAAAATAAATGTGTCCCTAGCTGGAAAAAAAAAACGGAATGTAAAGTGTGTCCCACGCAATCACAGTATAAGTGACAAATACATGAAAATAAAGTGAATCAATTAGCGAAAACGGCAAATTGTCGGATCAGACTCGATACGTGTCCAGACCGACCCGGGTCGGCTAAATTAATTTGCTCTAGGAAGAGGCACTTGGCTCCCATTTTCTCCGCTCAGTCAAGTCGGCGTGGGGATAATAACTTGGCTCCCGTTTTCTCCGCTCAGTCGAGTAGGCGTGGGGATAATAACTTGGCTCCCGTTTTCTCCGCTCAGTCGAGTAGGCGTGGGGATAATAACTTGGCTCCCGTTTTCTCCGCTCAGTCGAGTAGGCGTGGGGATATTATCCAAAACTAGATAGTAATTCGCCAGAATGCAGAGATGCTTTCTTTGCGGCGATGATGCAGAGTGGAATGGGGGTTGCTTGGTGACTATGTGGGTGGGTGGGAATGCAAAAGCTTCAGCTTATTTGACATATATGTGGTGATTCAAAAAGTATCAAGGATATACCAGCATAGTCTGAAAACATAAATAGTGATAAAACAAATCTCTCACGTACTTTTGCAACACCTTGAAATCTCGTCGTCGACTCCAAGCTATTGCAAAGATTTATCCAGTAATATCTAAACTGTGTCTGTTATTATGGACCATAATTCCTTCTGTTAGGTTTATTGTAGTAAGATATTTTGTACAGTTTCAGAGAAAAAGATGTTTGGATTCTGGTTCACCTTCAGGAACTTTTCTATTTTTACAAAACAAATTGTTTTTAAAAAGATCGTCATTTAGTAAACTGTCACCGCGTATATCTTCATTATTTTAATTTCTCTTTTGTTTTAGTCTAACATGATTCTGCTGTATATGCTTATTAATTAATATGAGATATCATTATAATATTGTATGTACATTTTTCTCTTGCTATCGTGTTAGCAGTTTTCAATATTGTCACTCAAATGCCCTGGTTATCCGCGTCATTCACATTGTTAACGTTATTATTATCAAAGTCCTCGGAGTTTTTGGAAATCAATTTTATGCATTATTCTTCTAATTACTCTTTATTTTTAACGAATTTATTTCATTATCGAAAAAAAATATTTATCATCCGGCAATTATTTGCCATGATAGAATTATAAAGGAATTTCTACATATGCAAACTGCCATGTGAATTCTTTTTGGTGTCTGATGAAACTGACTTTACCATATTTAGTGTTGGCTATAATTATTATAGAAATTTTTACACCTCATGCATTTTAAACAAGAGACGGAAAATTCTTTTTTATAGTTGTAAACATTATCAAAAAAATTCGTACGGAGTTTTCAGTGTCTGTTACTGTGTTCGAACTGTTGGAGATAATGTTTTTTCAAGGTATTAAGTGGGTCATATGTTATTCTGTCGATCAGATGTTAGTTTAGCGACCTATGTGCGATTGTCGATTCGTGCGAACAAGCAGTTTATGCATGCTGACCAAACTTGAAAGGATTGCACGCAGGGCTTTTGCTGCTTTACCTTCCACTTTTATCTTTGGCTTGCATCTGAAACGGAGCCTGCTAGAGAACCTTCTTGCACAGCTCCTTCTATGTTGAAATGAAGACAGTCGATAATGAACTTAATTGTTGGGTTAAATCTATATAATCAATCAAAGTTTTGAACATGTCGTTCCCATAGCGATGTTTTCGTGCAGAACGGGATGGCTTTGCAGCTTTTTCGTTCTTCAGCATCGCTGTATGTTTCGATACCTCGCAGTCCGGTCCAAAATATCGAAGTCTTTCATGTCTCTTTTCACTATCCTTCTCAAAAGTTTAGATATATTGGGTATTTCCCCACTGAAAAAAGAAGAAATCTGAATGCGGTGTTGTTTTAATTTTAATGATATACTAAGTTGAGTGTTATATATATATAGTTTAATACAAACAATACTATCATACAGGTTAGAGAAATAAAATTCGTACTCTACTGAGTTTCGAATCCAGGTCTGTAAGTAATTGGCACCCATCGCCTTGCCATGCACGCACCAGCCCATATACCGTCACGACTAAACACACATCACCAAAAATGATGACACAGAATCGGTGTTATATAAGCTCCTGCTTAGCAGACGCACTCGCATGACGACCTAATAAATAATTTTCATAATTCTCAGATATATACACATATTCCAGATTCCTTTGAAAGAAATCAATGTATATAGGATTTTTGTATTATAAATAATTATAAATATATACCAGACAGAACAGACAGTGCTATGCCTTGAGGAGAGCGCAGATTTGCTCTTGCAACATCACAAGCCTTTGACAATTTGTACTTAAAATCAGAAACATAGTCAAGACGATTGAGCTCAATATATTCATTTGAAAGACGTTTCTCTTTCAACTCCCTTACAGCAAACAAAAGTAAACGAATACCTTCATCCAAATCTTTGCTCGCATCAAAGAAGTAAGATCGAAACGTATTCTTTAAAGTCTGATGAAATCTTTCTAAGGCCCCTTGGCTCTCGTGATGATAGGCAGACGATTTAAATTGTATAATGCCCTACTCGTGCATAGCTTGATGGAAAATTCCAGACATGAAATTGACCCTTGACCCGATTGGACAGATTTGGGAAGGCCAAATTGAGTAAAAAAAAATTATTAAAGCTTTAACTATAGTTTTGGTTTTAATATTCCTCAACGGAATTGCCTCTGGGAATCTCGTTGACGCACCCACAATGGTCAACAAATATTGGTTGCCTGACTATGTCTAGGTAAGGGACCAATACAAAATACCATAATTCTGATAAATGGTTCGTCAAATGCAGGAATTGGTTGTAGATGAGCCTTCGGTATCTTTTGATTGGATTTTCCTACCATTTGACAAGTATGACAAGATCTACAGAATTTACAAACATCACTTTCGATTTTTGGCCAATAGAAGTGAGTCAAATATCTTGTTATAAGATTTATTTATCCCTAAATAACCAGCCAGAGGAGTTTCATGGGCCAAAATCAGTATTTCTTTCTGTAAGATTTTGGAAATACAATCTGAAAGTTCACTGACCACTCGTACCTCGGGAGATCTCCATTTTCTCAGAAGAATTCCATTTTAATGAAGTTACAGACGGTACATCACTTGCTTCTGTTTCACTAATGGCCCTATGAATCAAATAGGAGATTTCGGGATCTTTTTCATGTTCGACGGCATGTGATTGTCGTTTATCATTCCGATTAGATAAAAGAGAATGTGTATTTAAAAGATGATCACTGTGTCCAATACCACCAGATTGATCCAAATTTGAAGTAAAAGTGACCTCATCAAAAGCCTGACCAATAAATGTGTCAGCTAAAGGAATATCTTCCTTATGAAAATCATTCTCAAGAGCTTTCATTGACATAGCATTTGTAACTGCACAAGTTTCAATTGGATCAAGTTTCTGATCCAAAGAAGGCTTGTCAGTTACAAGTGGATTAACCACAACCTTGTCCCCAGCTAGGTCATTTCCTAGCAACAAATGAATGCCATCAACGTCAGGTGATACACTATACCGACTGTCACATATCCTGAAACTAAGTCTGATGACAAATGTACGGAATGGAAAGGAACATTAACAAACCCGCACTATACTCCCTGAATAAGAACACTCTCATTAGAATAGGACTTCTCAAAATAAGGCAAAACACCTGTCACTAAAAGACTGCGAAGCTCCTGTATTCCTTAATATTTTAATAGGGATATGATTGGCCGAATCACCCAAGAGTGATATAGAACCCTTCGACATGAATGGTTCATAATTCTCTATAGTAAAATCAGACCGGGTTTTATTATTATTGCTTTCAACATATGACCGTGACCTTGACCTCTTAGAAATAATAGCATTTGGGATAGGTCTATCTTGATTCTGATGCCTATATTTCAATTTGAAGCAATTAATGATGTGTCCTTTTTCCTTGCAATAGGTACACGTTGGAAGAGACAAGGATTTTGAATCAAGTCTCTCAGAGGCTTGACTTTTTAAATTTGTACGAGCTTGAGTTTTACTGAGAGTCGAATTAGACTGAAATAGCTTCCTAACAGTAGACTGCTGAATGAATGTCTTGCTTACAACAGGAACTTCATGAGCTATAGAGTACCCATCGGCAGCAAGAGCAGCATTTTCCAAGGTTTCATTCTTATTCTCTTCAAGATGATTCCTAATATCATTAGGAATACAGAATTTAATTCTTCAAGCAACACAAGTTTTTCAAGACTTTCATAATCATGTTCAACTTTCTTGTCCAAGCACCATCTCTTAAATAACTCTTCTTTTTCTCTAGCGAATTTGACATAAGTCTGTCCAGCTTCTTTTTTATGTTTCTAAATTTTGCCGATTAGCCTCGGGGACTAACGCATAACCCCTTAATATGCAATCCTTAACCAAATCATAATCCGAATTCTGTTGTACTGACAAGGATGCATAGATATTTCGGGCTTTGCCGAAAAATACACATTGCAAAAACTGAGTGCAATGTTCCCGTGGCTATTTCAAATTTTCAGCAACTTTTTCAAAATAGATGTAATATTTGTTTACTTTTTTTTAGTAAAATGGGATATAGCGTGATATTTTTTTGTAATGTCCAAGTTTGAATCTGTATGTGAAGTGGAGTCGTGCTTGCCACTTGCCAGCTCAAATTCTTTCATTCTCAGTTGAAAATATCTTTCATCCTTCTCTCTTTGCATCTGTCTCTCTTTCCTCTTTTTCAATTGTAATTCTCTCTCTCTTTCTCTCTCTCTCTCTCTCTCTCTCTCTCTCTCTCTCTCTCTCTCTCTCTCTCTCTCTCAAATTGTAATTGTTTGTCTTTCTCCCTCTTCTGTGTCTCTCCTCTTTCTCAAATTGTAATTGCAATTGCTTTTCTTGCACCTGCATTTGTTTCTCCTCTTCTTCTATCTGAAGCTCGAGCCACTTTAA